TCCAATACTGCTGCCCTGCCGAACTAGATGCCGATGCCTTGATATTCTGTTGAGTGGCATCATATATCCACGCATTGATGTCGATCAATCGTGCGCTACCAATATCAGGCTAGGCTCATGTTGGCCAACATGCACTACAGGAACCAATCGGCTTACCAGCTGTTACACCTGCGACGAATTGCTACCGACGAAATACGTACAACATTTCGCCGGCACACCAACTAGAGTATTCGACAAAGGCTGGGGCACCGGTGCCTCGGTCTTGAGCTCTCAGTCGCGTCTTCGACCTCCACGGTTAGGGGTACAGCAGCGATGGGGCAAGGCCGGAGGGATGGACATTCTACAAAGTTTCTGGGATGACGAGATCGGCTGAAGGACAGAGGGATGCTGCATGAAGGAATCAAAAGGGAATAAAAACTGAGGAGACCTTGGTGGTCGACTGGATGAGGCCTCCAGTGAAGAAAACGACCCCTAGATGAGATGAGGAGATGCTGGGATGAGCAAAAGCTGGGAATGAAGCGAAGGGAAAAGTTACAGATCGTGGAGGTGTTAAGGGCTCGGGCGCGTGGTGGCCGAGGCTGAGGAGGAAACTGCGCTTCGGCACGCCTAAAGGGGGTTCTCTGGACGGTTGGGCTTGGTATGGTTCAACACATGGGTGAAGTCAGAGGTGGTCCGGTCATTAAAGTGGGACGAGGTTTATCTGTACTTAATGGTAGTTAACCTGATCCAGCCCGGCCCCACCCGTGCTTAAGCTCCAGTAGGAGTGCAACGGGAATCACTATACCTAGCATGTAAATGAACAAGACAAGACAAGACCTTGTGCTTGAGTTACAATAAGAATTAGATTTCTCAAATACAAAGTTATTTATTCAGAAGACACATGGCTTTACTCGATAGTAACCTTATTTTACAGATGAATCCACCTCAAACCCCACCTTCAACACCTCGACTCAAGCAATTATCCAGAGATCAAAATATTTTAGGAAGTAGAAAAATTAGGTATGAACAAATATAAATTAAAAGAGAAATGAAGATTTATGGGCTTCATGAGTCTGGCAAAAACCAGACGCAGATTGCCGCGCAACTAGTTTTGTGAATACCTCGGGTCAGCTCCAATCGAGCCTCATTGGGCTCCCACCATTGCGGCACTCGGACACTCGGCCGCAGTAAGCTAGATGAGATAAGGGCACTGACAGCACAGCTAAGTACCTAATCACTCTGGCAACATCCCTACATCCGAGCGTTGCCTGGTGGACCAATGCGTTTAGACTGAGGCGCACATCACTCTGATGGCTACCGAGGGGCAACAGCATATAATGTGACGACAGTGTATAGCTCTGCGATCCCGGGAGTTCCACACTAGCAACCAGTGTCAATAGTATGTTGTGACAGGAGATATTGGTAGGGGCTATGGAAGCGGTTACTGTGACAGAAGTAGGAAGCACCTGTGGTGAGTGCGTGATCAGGACTGGGGTACTGAATGTATATATAAGGAAGCAATACTTCCACAGATAGATTGTAAATCAACCATCTCACTACTGTCCATTCCAACGCTTCTTCTCACTACAGCCATATCAATTATATCCGCGCATCCATAATCACTTGCATCCATTTCAGGTATTCCTCTGTCCCCTCATGACCTCGTTATCATAACAACTAGGCATTTCTCGGGGACAAGTTAGTTATTCACTGCGCCGCGGAACTGTCTCCCCTAAAAAGAGAAAAAGAACATCCTCAAGGCTGAAAGCAGATGATGTTGATCAGATTACATCTTACGATGAGTCTCAACCTGGAAACCGCCGCAAAACATTTCTGGAGCTCGCCTCTGGCCCCTTTAGACATCTTGGTGTTAGCGAGCGGGTAATACAAAGAGAACTTCAAAAAAAAGGATATCAGCGACATGTGGCTCGTCTAAAGCCTACAGTATCTCAGAAAACTATGAAGACACGCATAGAATGGGCCAAAGCTCATCTCAATTGGACATATGAAGACTGGACGTCAGTTTTATGGACAGACGAAACTTGGGTAGAGGATGGAAGACATTCTAGAGAATGGGTGACAAGAAGTGTTCGTGCATTCCTCAATAAGAAGATGGTAATTTGATGCTCTAACATTATGAGCTAGACTTCCCAAGTATACGACGCTGATTGTGTTGGAGAAAAATCAAAGAATAGGGTCGGATGGATGTTCTGGGGTTGCTTCGCAGGGCCAGAAAAAAGCCCTTGTTTGTTTTGGGAGAAGGAATTGGGTTACATTAACTCCCAAAAATATTGCAAGAAGATAGTTCCCTTTATCGATGGCATGGTCTCGATGTGACCTTGGCTTTCCGTAATGCAGGATAATGCTCCTACCCACACAGCCGCAATTACAATGGAAGATATGAGCCAGAGGGTCATTCAACCGATTTTCTGGCCGGCCAACTCGCCTGATCTTAACCCGATTGAAGCTGTTTGGAATAAGATGAAGGATTACATCCAGCGTCATCATCCGAATCTGGGTTGCGGATAGCAGCGACCTCAAGATAGTCTTCGCAACATTGTAAAGGAGGCACGGGATTCCGTGTCTTCCGAAGATCTTGTGAGACTCATTCAGAGTGTGTCAGCAAGATGTCAGGCTGTGGTAGATGCGGATGGAGGACCGACTAGATATTAAGGCCTGAAAATATTCCAGCCACATGTTTAGAACTAAGGTTAGGATAAGACTGGCTCTATTTTGTAATTTGAAAACCTTTGAACTCTTTTAAATAAGTTATAACGTCAAGTAGCAAAAATGCACAAATGTTATGCAGCCGATCATTATACAAATTAGGTTTAGTACGAAGGAAAGACCCACTGCAAACTATGGTGTCCAGATTAAAACTGCCATACAAAATTTTTCAAAAATTTGCACAAATACGGGGGCTAACTCCAATATGGAATGTTATTATGCCTAAGGCGCCTAGTTTACACGCTAAAACCCCTACCAAAGCCCCACTGCAAACGTGACACCGTGGCACCACGGTACGGTCGCTGCTCGCCCAATAGCAGAGACAGCAACTTTTCTTAGTTGTGGTGGCGGGGATGACAGTGACTAGGCTGTCTTACGAGTCTTCTACGTATCACCTAGAGCCACCGAGGCCCTCTTGGATATATATGTCGATTGTTCTATCGGACATTTGATGTCTGGATTGCCAGAGCTGGTTTTTTCTTCGAAGGCATTGATCCTCTCGATAAGCTCTATATCCATTGTTCCATAGTCGATAGTTTTTACTGTCGAGTTCTTGTCGATTATCCATTTAATCACTTTCTTGTGCGCCCTTCCGAGGGCGTCGATAACACGGTCCTCACGCGATTTTTAGGGTTGCCCCAGTGCCATTCCGATTACGGGGCTTGTCACTGATATCACGATATTCTGATGAATGCGACGTGCGCGAAAGAGAAGGAAAGGGGGAAAAATTGAAGATTCGAATTCCAAAAAATTGCGTGGGAGGATTTTTTTAAATCATTTAATGTGTATTCAGCCATCTAGCGTTGGCACACCACCGGTGCTGTGTATACATGTATGATGACTCTTCTGACGTTAGAGACACTCATACTCTGGATTTCATATTGCGTGTGTGTTTGTTGTACTACTTGAGTCTATGACTATCTAGCACATTGGGCTCCTCTCTGACCCAGACCATACCTTGTAGAGTGCTCTTTGCCTCACATGTTTCTCGAGAGATCATTGATATATTGCCAGTGATGAATAGCCATTTAGCTCAGTGTTTGCCCGTGAAATTCGTCCACCTTTCCCACGGAACCTTCTACCCAAAAAAAATAAAAATGGTAGCAATGGAAACTGCGTGCGCGGGAAAATTTCTCAAAAAACCTGCAGCCCCAGCCAGGCGAGCCCTAGACATCGGGACCACATGAGGTGCGCATATTCATCTATATCTCCCTTCTTTGTAACAGTCGAGGTCGACTTGATCCAATCCACCACCTCCGTATCGGGTGCTGGGTACGCTCCGGAAACTCTTCGCTTTGATATTGCTCCATGATCAAGGGTTGGTGATAAAAAGGGCTCCGACCCTACCATCAGATCTGATCGCAGTTTGCTCCATAATAATGGAGATAGGGGGATGTTTAGAGAGATGAATACGATACAGACCGCGAAAGCGATTGGGAATCCTCATCAAAGTGAGGACTTTTTTACTCAATCTTGGCTCTGCAGACTCTACAGTGAGAACTGAAGGTTCGTAGGGACACTGGCAGTCAGTGAAAGGATTACGTGACCGGGAAAAGGATAGGACAGTATTCACACTGAATGAATAGTGCAAACGCACTTCCCGTAGGAAACTTCAGAAAACCAATAGACACGAGATAGACACTTTTAGGGGGTTTTTACCGAATTCGGTTTCCTATCTTTTAATATTATGGCTAGATATATCTGGATGGGCCCAAAGGGTAGCTGAACAGGTAAATGAAATCTAATCAAGCGACTACACCGACACCACCGGAAGGTGAGGCTCTTGTCTTTGCCGGCTACACACGTTATTAAGAGCCACGATAAAATAGATTTTAATCTTAGTCTCCCAATCAAATCATTTAAAAGCTATCTCGGTTAGATTCGGAACTTCAAAATTAGAAGCCATAGATTCCAGGATGGGCATAAAAATCATCTATGAGCTAGATTTTGTAAGGCCAAACCATGATCCTTCGTGGACGAAAAACCAGGCATTTTCAGGCGGCTGGTAATCCATTGTGGAGTGAAGTGGATGATTTGCTGCTACTTCCATAAATACGTAGGGACTCCGATGGCCTGACTCGAATGTTTAATCTTTTGATCGAGCTAGTTCAAATCGGCCACTCTCCTGTATCTACATAGTTACGTATCTAAACACAATTAATTTGCAACTGAAGTTTTGCAAAAATCGAAAAATGCATCTTGAGAAGTAAGATTTCTCACACGTACACTCGGTGATACATTTTTGACACTTTCCATTTCACGATTCGACTTTTCTATCTGATCTTTTGTTCAAGATGTGGATTAAGTTCTGTACCTCCCTTTTACTATCAAGATTAATTCATCGAGTCAAATGTATAGATACACCATACTCGGATATGTACCTTCCACATGGAACCAATGGCTTCATATGTGGAACAGAGCTTTTCTCGATCGAGTATGCACGGCAAGTAACAAGTACAGTTATGGAGTTATTTTTCTATGGAAAATATTTTCAAAAATATCCGAAATTATTCGAAGATACACACCTCTTTAATATGAAATCAGATATTCTTCTCTCGTGGCCTGCTAAGTTCAGTCAGAAAATTTACACGAATGGTAAACCAAACCCAAAAACCCTTCTTTCTGTGTACAAAGACTGCGACTGAACCAGGGACTAGGGAATGCGGGCAAATTCCGTCTCATCATCAACATCAGAGGTCAAATCATAGGTATGGTAATTATAGATATCAAGCACCACAATAACCACATCAGTTTCGAGAAATGTAAACCAGTACGCAGCTCTTTTTCCCAAGGAAATGTCGAAAGTAATCCTTTGGATGAAAGTTGGAGTGAAGCCTGTGACAATTATGGGTTTAATTGTGACTCAAAATATTTTCCGCTATCCATGATAAAGAGCGGAAATGGTCTTGACTCACCCTACTATTTTCAAACCGCACTGGACGTCAAAGGTAGATTCAAAAATTTTGAGAAATATATTGGCGGTCAATTCATCGGAGATGATCTTCGCCTTTACCCTCTTCATCATAGTTCATCTAGCGCACTTGGTTCTGGTATATTTACTCCTCAATAATGGTTGCTACAAAACTCTAACGTCCTTGCCCTAGGCGCGCAAGGTTTTTTTCGTGTTGTTTTTGACAAGAAAAATCGAGAATTCAAAGGGATAACTAACGCAAGAAATATGGAAACAAAGTGTGTACCTGTGTGGGATTTATCATCGGCCTCAAGCGATACAATTTATAGCCCATCCTCTGTCTTCAACACGGAGAGAATCTATGACAAAGATTGGCCCGAGACTTGTTTTGGACAAAGGTTCAAATACAAAACCATATGGCTTTTTATAGAGTTCGCCTTGAAAGAGTGGTCAACGAATGAGAGTGGGAAAAAACTTAATTTTCCCATTGTAAAAGGGAATAAATTTCGTTTCTGGCCAGTGAGAAGGCCAGAAACTCATGACAACAGTAAATATCCTTGATAAGCTAAACGAAAAATGTACTAACTTTACATATCTAGGCTCCGCGTATGCGTTTGCGATAGGCCATGATACGAACCTTAATACTTACGGTTTGTACCGAGCTGTAGTACGCGATGGTGTCTTAAGAAGATTTAAAATATGTCTAAATCTTCCCCACGAAGATATTCGCATTCTGCAGGAAAAGCTGGGCACATCGCTCTAGAAATATCGTCTTTTTAGGACAATATCAGAGTCTACACCACCACGCCTGATTTGATTTGAGTAATTTAACGTATCAGGACAAAGCCCTACACCCAGGAGGCTTGACACGGGCGCGTTTTCCCGAAGGCATCACAACTACCACTGAAGCTAGCTTTAAAGAGCCAGCAATTCACATGAATGAAAACCAAAAATACAAAGGAAAATTATTGCTACCCTGACTTGTCGTCCTGCGCCTCACCAGATTTCTCATAATAGTTTGCCAGTAAAATTTGTAACCTAGAATATTTCGGCCATTTTAGGCTAACTTTGCTTCCCGTAACATTCGGTCCTAGTAATGAATCGATAAAATGCTTCCCATCCCTTTTCTCCCAACAGTGTCCATCCACTTTGCGCTGTTTTCTTTGTCATTTTTCGCCATTATTTTAGCGCTATCCGGCATTCCGAGAAATGTCACGGGCGTTCTTCTCGGCCACATTTGCACCTACAGTCTATTCCTTCATGGTGAAACCTTTCACGGTATCTTGAGAAGTTTCCATGACCAGTCCTAGCCGATATCAGACGATGATACGCCCATCTTGGGAGAGCTAGTTCTAGCTGTCGTTTTCGTTTCATCAATAAATCCAGGTCTTAGTCTCGACTTGGTCTATTTTCTCGCCACGAAGATTTAACAGTCTCCGCACTACGGTCTCTGACGTATCGGTTTAGCGCTCCAAAATTGTATCTTTGTCCTATATATGATCTGGAGATAAACCTTGCACTTGAGAAAACTAGAAAATGTTTCAGAGCTGACTTGTCTAGTTTATCGGCACGTATGTTCCCGAGAATTCAAGAATGAATTGGGATCCATGGTATATCTACAAACCCTTTCGGTCGTAACCGAGTTAAAGATTGATCGACATTAGCTTGAGATGACTTGCTTCGGCCTATTTTGAGGGAATGGACAGCTTCGGAGTTATCGAGGAGTATCTTGATTGTAAAATTTGCTGCCAATATTACTGCTACTTCCAGGGCTTTCTGACAGCCCACAAGTTCTGCGCCGTACATTTCTGCTCCTATAGTCATCTAGACTTAGTAAAGACTATAATTAAAATCTAATCTTGTGATGAAACCAAGCTGGCTGTTGTGTAATTTTAGTAATATTAAACTATGTGAAGAGAGAAGTAACATAACTACGGGTGATGGCTATTTTCACATCCTTCCAGCTCATCCACTTCGCCGTCTCATATTCCTCCCCAGCTCCAATGTAATGTGTCGAAGTGAAACTTTGTCGCTCGATACAAGATAACATGGGACACTGTGCCCCCAAACTCTGCTTAGGTCTCCATTTAAGCTAAGCCATGGTCAAACCGTAACAAAACTAATCCTGTAATTGCACCAGCATGTTATGAATACAAGATAACGGGAGATGGAATTGTTACCGGTAAATAAGTTCACGTTCACTGAGACTTGTAGATAGAGGTAGGTTGTACCGAAGTAGTAGACTTGCTGGCTTTTATTCCAAGTTCAGAGAATCACTGCTTTTAGGTACATATACCACATTCCATGGCTTTCCATATTCATAGTCGTTCATTTCTATTCAACTCTGAGTCATCCCATTCCACTACATACCGTTCTATTCTATCTGGCTCTAGTCTATTCTGTTTTGACCATCTGATTCTGCGTCTCTGTGATCCACACTAGGCAGATGAAGGGGCAGTTATGTCATCAATCACAACACAGCATCCCTTCCAATGAGCCTGCCTCCTTTGCATACGGCGTATCCCCATGCAGATCTCGCTGGTACGCTTGATGAGCCATCTGAATAGGCACATACAGTCTCCGACGAGAGACTATCTGATTCGTCTTCCTATCGAGACCCGGTAGGAGTCTGGCAGAATCGGGTTTCGAGTATAGAAGTATACCGGGACCTTCAGCTATCAGTAAATCTAGAGCACTTTTCTGGAGTCGTGTCTGATAGCGCTCTGGAGCAGTGATAGATGGTAGTTTCTGGCCTGCTCGGAGTTCGAGACGCCATGTCAAATCTTTTGGCATCCCTCTAGAAGTCAGAGCTAGCTGGTGTCCCATGTACAGTCATTAAATGTGCGCTGCTGACCGAAGTTGGCTCTGTTCCAGAAGGATTGCTACCGGCAGCATGCCCGACTCTCTTCGAGGAGCCAAATCTGGGGCTTTACGCCAATTAGATAGTGCTGCTATAACTGACGTTAGGATTGTTTTATCTAACGGATATGAATGCCAGCCAACGCCAGTACTAACTTTATTGTCTCGCCGAGTGGTAGTATGGGCTAGGCCTGGATACCATGCTTCCGCTTCATGCAGTGGCGTGCGAAGGACACAGGTTTTGTCATGTAGAGACATGATTCATTCATGAGTTGATATTGTTCAGACGATCATGACTATATCACAACGTCATGTACAGACACGATTCATCGTTTGTACCTGTTGTATCACCCATGACTATGTCTCAGTGATATGAGAAACATCATTGACTAGTTACTAGAAACCTAATCAAGATCCTAAACACACAACTGAGACTAGGAGAATTTTACTGAGTAAGTAATTATTCTGATGAATCTAGATCTAGAGGAACATAATCTGGTTGCTTGGCTCGAGGTATATGAACCTGAGCATATCATGTATTATAAACTATATAGAAATCTATCTTAATCACAATCATCATCTTAATTCATGTCACCATCAATAGCTGCAAAGGACAGTTTAACCATTTCCTTATAGGTTTAGACAACTTTAATTATCGGTCTCGGTACTACGTTGCGCTGAATGGTATTTTTTTAAATTTACATCCTATTTGAGTCTATGACTATTGAAGGCTGAATGGTATTAATCCGATGTATAAACTGTGTTACACGTTGTGATTTCCTGCACCATACTTACATGTGCTGCTTGACTTTCAGTTGCGAATCAAGCCATAATACATGTGGGGATGGAGAGATATTGAGACCTTCCACTTGAACTGTGACATCTAAAGTGTCCAATTTTTTCCCTGGCCCACGACCTATTATTAGAAGCTCTGAATTGGCTAAGCCAAAGTTGACCTTGTGCCCTTCTGCCCTTCCGCCAGTTGAACGAGTCTTTCTGCTTCTCTCTGGGCCGATAAGATAGCTTCGGCGGCAGTGCGTCCTATTCCGAGCGTGGAAATATCGTCTGCAAACCCAAATCTTTTTCCTTTCCCGCCTCAGTCATGGATGTTATAGGGCGCATTCAACAAACTAACTGCCAAGATGAAACTAAGTACATAATTTGTAGTCGAGTGTTTATCAACAATTTTACCTAGTTGATAGCCCCAATAGTCCTAGCTTCTAACATGTATTGTACCGCTATTTTGAATTTATTCTTTTGCTCTCTAGTTAACGCTCCGCTGCCGTATTGTACCAGCAGTAAGCCTGGTGGGGATTTATCCCACGGGTGTATAAGTCCGATGTTCCTATCGTTGTAAAATATCAAGTTTTCTCTGCTTCTTCAGTCAATATTTATATAGTATTGTATAAAATATATTTTCTATCATTGCTGGTGAACATGGATGATGAGGACGAGACTTGATAAACAAAGGTTTTGCAATTTCCCTTTGGTACTACCCGCGCTGGAGGGTCGACTGTGTGAATAAAGATACCTCTTCGTGGTATTTGTGAATGAAATCAGGAATATGAGTGTATGAAGTCGAAAAAGTCCCCCCATGTGCACACTTGGCACTGATCGAGTGTAATAGCTAGATAATTGAATACTCGTTAAATGTTTTAAATAGAATGAGCTCAAGATTTGTTAACTGGAGATTTGGTGGGATCGAGCAGGGCAGACTTCAAGATCAAATTGCGACCAGCTCTACCGGCCATGCGTCTAAGAGGAACAAAGTTCTCGGCCTGGCACTTAAAACTTCATAAGCATACGACAAGACACCTCGCTAAGCCCAGAAGATGAGTGGCGGCATGATATTTGAGTAACCATGAACCTGATGTTTACAGATGGCTGTTGAGATCGAATTATATCGTTTTTGGTAATCACATAGAGCGCAGCCACACCTACATCGTAGTAGTCCGTGTAAATGGATGGCACCAAAATGAATAGCTGTTCGCACGAGTGTATCCAAAATGGAGCCTCCATAGTCATAGACTCAGTTAGGACTGTAATAATAATCTAATCTAATCCAAAATGGGGTTATTTTGTGTCAGAAGATAAAACCTGCGAGCTTCTGGGATCACCCCATAAATGTTGTCTCGCTCATTGCTGACTTAATCAACTCACGGGAGCCGGACAAACGCTGGATCCCGTCTATAACGCATTAGCCTGTAACAGTCCGGGCTTCCGGGAGGAACTCGTTCTTTCTCTGTAGAACAGAATAGAATAGAATTTATGTCCCTACTGAGTCCATGACTATGTAGGACATTTCTTCCCTGTAGATAACCTCATGTAGCGCATTAGACCTCGAAATTTTTCTACGCACTCCAATACGATAGAGGCAAGATTATTAAGATTGATTTATGATATGGAAATGTAAACTTACGCTGGAGCAGCTTAGATAGTCCATGGAGAGATATCTTAATATGTAGAGAAAAGATTTCTTGATTTTTTTGCATCTGATTTTAATTGTTTATGCAGCTATCTAGCTATGACACAATATCAGAGGAAAAGTACACAATAAATGACTCAATTATAACTGGAGCACTCATGCCTCGGATTTTATTTGCAAGTACCACTGCGAAGTTATGGCGGCTTTTCCTCCACTTCAAGTCAACCTACATCTGTGAATACCCACCCAGGGGAACGTCTCAAAAACTCGGAGTTAACCAGACATGCCTCCGTCATCCATTATCCTTCCTCCGCGCGAAATATGGTCTCAGGAGCTTCCTTCCCAAGTGGAGTAGGTGCCTAGGCAACTCAAATTATACCGGAGGACACCACCAGGAGGCGGACCACGGCACCTTCCAAAGTTGGCTTGTTTTAATAGTGCCAGCTGCACTTTCGCAGCCGAATGCTTGGCGCGCACAATGCTCTTCAATTTGTGAAAGTCCTTGCTAAAATTTGAAATCTCAAACCCGTCGAGATTGAACTTCTCCTTTCCGTCATCTCGAAACTTGTCCTGATCTCTCTCATGCACATTCCAAAGAATCGCCTCCCTAATTTGTGCGCCACGATTTTGGTCCTCCCTTGGATATTGGTATTGATGTGAGTGTATTTCTGGTGGCCAGCTGAGACCAAAGAAGGTTGACAAGAGGTGTGATCATTGGAATGAGGATTTACTTGGTCGTACTTGTAAACTTCTTGAGACTTAGGTAGGGGTCGATCTCGTTGGGGGTGGAAATTTGACATGGCGGAGTATGCTGAATCATTGCCTCGTAGGCCAACTTCTGGTGTGGCAAAATTGGACTGAACTTGGCTCTAGGAGAATATCTCACTCTAGGGGTTCGTAGAGGACACCGCGTACAGATGTTCAGTCTTGCCCTCCCATGACAAGGCTAATCATGTTAGATGCTGTATTCCTCGCTTAGTCTTTCGCGACTCGCCATGCTCTGCATATCTGGGATAGCCAAGAAGAATCGTATCCGAAGCGAAGTCGAAAGCAAACATATGCATATCTCCATTTGACGACTTCTCAACCATGCAGCACTCATCATTATCTTCTGAGTCCTCAACCCCGATCTAACCACGCATCATCTCGCCTCGCCTACCGATAAAGGCGTCACCCCAATTGCAAACAGGAGCTTGCCTCATTCATTACCGGCCATCACTCTCTACATATTTACGATGCTATTTATACCCGCAAGGAGGAAATCAAGTCGAGAAATACAAAGTTGGGGTCTTGGTTTATGGGGGACTGCTGCTCTAATGTGGCTATACATCTTGAGGAAGAACAAGCGCCTGAGATGTGGAGCGAAAGGGGAAAGAGGTCTCTGAAGACCATGCTGGGACTGACATTTTCGAGGAGTTTTCAACTTTGGATTTTTTGTGGGCGCCAAGACCAAGATTTCGGCTAATTAGCCAGGAGGGCTTCTTTTGTCGATGAGTCAACGGCACCCCCCAGCGCCCTGGACGGCACAAAAGAAGTTAGGCTAGGCTACCATACAGCAATCATGCTCTGTCGAGACTTCTCTGACATTTCAGCACGACCTTCGGGAAGGAGTTGGAAGGAGGCTAGAAAGGCAAAGTGTTAAATTCCCTGGGTACACACAAGTCTGCAGTGCTCAGCTGGCCGGCCTCTTCGAACGCTTCAGAAGTGGCAATATGTCTTCGGATTTATTCCTAATGTCGGTATTAGAAGAGCCCCGCACCCAGTGGTTTTTGCGAATTTTCCCGGCTGCCATACACCCGCAAATGGCCATCGTTTCGTTGGCTGGAGAGGGGAGATAATGAAGGGCAAAGGGCTCCTCTTAGTGTATGATCGAATGAGGACTTGTGAGGGGTGGTGCTGTTTGAGGGGAGCTGTATGGGAGGCATAGGAGGGGATATACTACTGGTATAGGTATCCTTGGCCTGTAGGCAGAGAGGACCTGCATGTCCTACATAGTCATAGACTCAGACAGGACAATAAAATGAATTAATATTAATAATAATTTCGCGACTCGCCAATCTTTTCAAGGATGTTCGCTTCGAGCTTCACGTGATCAGTTTTTATGGTCCTCATCGATATTCTTGGCTCATCAATGTTCGTTTCCGAGTCCAGAATATTAACTAGATTCTCCACACTCATCGAATCCTTGACATCTCTAGATACTCAGGGTGATAACAATATAACTTATTTGTGAAGCACCTTTATTTTTTAAATTCCAACACTCTATTCTCTGGTTTTCAGTTAGAAGAGATGATATAATAGAAAGTATGGACTTGTATAAAATAAGGCACAAGCTTCGTCTGGTTAATCTTCTCTGGAACCAATTAAAAGTATTATTTATGGGACCAAATTCAATCTTACTCGTATTACCTGACTAGATTCCTTGTTAATTATCTCAAAGGCATACCTCTTGTCCTACTACACCTAGACACACGTATTATGTGAACAATTAACTCTGCTACTACTTTAGATCACACAATCCAGTCTCCTAAGTCACTTTACTAACACTCAGACCGAAAGGGATTACGTTAGCCCACATACGCTACGGTTTCATACTTTTGGATTGAGACCTCTGTCGCCAACATCATGCACTGCCAATTCTTGGTGATTTCCCCACTCTTAATATTCGGAAGGGAAGATACTTATCAATTTAACATCATCAAACCATTTAAAGCAGGCAGTACCAACCATTATCTCCGATATGAGGGGTCGCCCAAAACTTCGTATCAGATTCCAGAGGGCGTTACAGGCGAGGAAGTACGGAATACATCCAAAAATCACATTATCTATAAGTTTTGTGCCGAAAGAAAGGAGAATCTCCTATCCCTTGAGAATCACTTTGAAGCCAATACTCATCGCAAAAGTGACGTGATAATAGACTCCAGAGACGAAGATTCATCTTACAAGGAATGTTCGGAGAAAATTAACTCACAACTTGTTGGAATAACTCTACTAAGTATGTCTGCAATAAGTAAAAATAGATTGCCTCCCTGTACAACCAAAATGCTCATCAGAGATATCTCGTATCGTCGTGCCAAAGCTTATGGCGCTTACAAAATATACAGTCACCAGGCTTCGGCAAAAATTATTCTTGAATGGGACGAATTTATTCCTCTTCATGAGCTATTGGATCAAAAAGATCCCTTGATGACCAAGAAGAGACAGGGACAACTCACACACCTTGTATACATCGCCGGATTTCTCAAGCTTGCAACTGAAATACCTGACAAAAAAGGTTACAAAATCTCACCGGCTCTTGGAAATCCACCCGAAAACGAAATTTATGAGTTTTTGGATAAATTTAAAAGGCATAGGACATTTATAACGTTTGATTTGCTTAGATTGTTCTGATTTGGCGCCCTATGGGCCCATGCAGGTGTCTATCATACTTTCTAATTCCATGGGAGGAAACTTTTCGGTGTAAATTCCCCCAACCTTCCTGTTTATTGTCTATACTTTTCTAATGTATCCTTTAGGAAGCGCAGTTACACTATAGTGCCATCCATGTAACCTAATCACATCAGCTCTATCGAACTCAAGAAAGGCATGCCCTGTTTCTTTCCCTTAGCAGCATTTGGACCGCCTCTGTCATTTGGATTTGTTCTATACAATCATGATTTAGGATCCACTGCTTTGTCCTTTTGATATCTCCAGGATTATTTAGCATAGCTTCGTAGGAACGATCTTTGGCTTGTCTCCAGATCTCTCCTCTTCCATTTGACCATCGAGGGCAGGACATAATCCTGTGCTTGGGGTTCTGCGATTGGTAGCTACATGGACAGCTTGGACTGTAGACTCCGGGTACTTTTCTTCTGTATAAATACGAGTTGAGCCCCATGTGCTCACTTCGTATTTGAATAGCTAGACTGCTTTGGGCCCTTGTCAGGTTTCGGTGGAGTAGGAATGGCGATTCCTGGTGACTTATTTTTCATCGATCCAACTTTCGGTTCCGATAGAATTTGACTGCTCTCCAGGTTTCGGGGTCGGCGTTGGCTTTAAGTCGAGGTAGTTGGAGCCGCCTTTGATTTTTCCAGGATTCAGCTCATTCTTGGTATGCCGCGACTTTTATTGCTATCATTATTACTAGGTTTTAATCTACATCTAATTATCTATGTAAACTGCCGCTCTCACGGCTCCATATTTATTTATTTTATTTTAGCATTTAACGTCCGCGGCGAAACTATCTTCCGATAGTCTCCAAAAACCTCCCTAGGGGCGAAGGACGCGCTGTCGAGCTAAGCCCGCAGCGAAATTTTCTAGCAGTTCTGCACTAATTACAATCCAGTCCAGTATCGCAATCTTATGCAATACTTCGGTCCCTACATTTATTTCCCCAGAGGAGACTACATTCCATTTATGATACTAGAGTATGCCACCGCCCCTTCCTCTGTGCCTAATAGCCAATTTATTGCCTCTCTCACGGCTCCATACATACAATGAGCAAGTCAGTCAAGGTGCTTGAACATGAAACACCTTCACGTGACGAGGGGTTGGATGGTGCAGTGGTACACCATCTGGGCCGTCCTCCCAAGCAGATACTGGGTAGCTGGAACACCTACACCATTCGAGACAGGAGAAAGCTGGTTCGAATCCAGTAAAACCCACCCACCACACTTTCTCGCCGTGATATTATACTTGTAGGATGATGAAAGCACACTCGGATAGCCACAGGTTTTTAACGCTTTTCCCTGTGGTGGGTATGCACGGAAGAGGTTGTACGCCGTAAGGGTTAACCTCGAGTGGTATCTGCAAATGAAATCTGAGTGTGAGTGTTCCAAACGTCAAATTGAGTGATCCTACTTAAAGTACACATCTTCCGATAAAAACCTGCATGGGCCTCAAGGCGCCAAATCAGGTAAAAAGAAATATATATATACACGTGACATGAATGCCAATCTATTCTTGGCATTACTCAGCAAACACCCACACCCCTTTTTTTTTTTAAATCATTTAATGTGTATTCAGCTATAGAGCTATGACACATGACCGGTGCTATGCTTACATATTGGATGACTCATTTGACGTTAGAGACACTCATACTCTGGATTTCAATCGCAAATACCACTATGAGGTATGCTTGCTTACACAAACAGTCGACTCTCCTCCGTGAGTACCCACCAAAGGGAATTTCAAAACCTTTGGCTATCCAAGCATGCCTTCGTCATCCATGTACACCAGCGCCGCGAGAAATGTGCTTGTGTTTTGCCGGATTTGAACCAGCGATCTACTGTCTCGAGTGGGATATGTGTTCAAGCTATCCAGACTCTACTTGGCAGACCGGCCAAGATGATGTACCACTGCACCATCCAACCATGGCAGCTTTTATAGTGTCGCCTGCACTCTCGCAGCCGAAGACTTGGCACGCACAAAGCTCATTTTGTAAAAACTCCTTTCCAAAATTCAAAATTCCACGCCCGTCGAGACTGTATCCAATCCTCTGCATCATCTTATTAACTTGTCCTGATCCCTCTCACATCCATCCCAAGGAACTATCTTCCAGATTTGTGCGCCACGCTTTGCTTCCTCCGTCGGGTGTAAATATCGGCGTGGGCGTGTATCTGGCGACCAGCTAAGGCCAGAGAAAGTCGACAAGAGGTGTGGTCATTGGGACTAGGATGTACTAGGTCGTACTTGTAAACTTGATGGGGTTTAGGTAGGAATCGATTTCGTTGGGAGTGAAAGATTGATATGGTGGAGTAATTTGTAATTTTGCCTCGTGGGCCAACTTCTTTGATATTGCGAAATTTGACTGAACTTGGCTCTGGGAGAATATTTCACTCCCAGGTTCGTAGAGGACACCGCGTACAGGTGTTCAGTCTTGCCCTCCTCGTGATTGTCTTCTACCTCGCTTAAAAAAACATTGTGCTCTGATTACATGATGGAATAACATTCCCACCACCGAGATCATTACCAACCTAGACCTCACCAAAGCTAGCAGCGATCGAAGAGGAGTAGTTTTCATCTACTACGCACTGCGTGCAGTTCGGTCTGGTATGTCTAGATTTCAAAAGTTTTCCCGCGCACGCAGTTTCCATCGCAGCTCTTCCATTTTTTCGGGGTAGAAGGTTCCGTAGAAAATGAGATTAAATCCTGGGCATAACCACTGAGATGACTGTCTATCATGGGCTTTATATCAGAGATATCTCTCATAACAAAATAGCGTAGAAGGACTGCACAAGGCGTGGCCTGAGTCAGAGGGGAGCTCAATGTACTAGATAATCCATGACTAAAGCAGCAAACTAAGCCAAACACTCACTCACTCTGCTCTGTGGCCATGAGGGTATGGCGAGAAAGTAGCCGTTGAGGGCGACGAGGGCTGCTGCAATCACGACCTTTAAAGCTTTTGGAGACATTGGGTTTATTCCTTTTCTCGTCTTCGTCGATGGCCCAAAGTGAATCTAGCGCTGAAATGTAGCTTTCGATAGGATGCTTCGCCTTGAGGATTATGCGTATCGCGGCTTTGCGGGTGAGGGCGTAGTCGACACGATGATGCCGTCATGGCTGGATGGTCGTCAAAGTAGAGTCTGTATCCCTAGCCTGGTCGAGGTAGATGCTAGCTGGGCCCGATCCAGTGAGACTCCATTACATTCCTCGCGGCGTTGGTGTACAATATGACAAAGGCAGTCTTGAAATGTCTCTCTACCTGCATTCGCGCGTGAAGGTCGAGAGTTTTATGCGAGCAGACATAGCTAATACTCATACTTGCAAATGAAGTTCAAAAAATGCGCGTCTGACATGCACACAATTAGACCATTTATGATGGCTAGCTAAACGATCGTAAAAGATACAAGAATGAAGAGAAAATGAATGGGCTACTTAGAGATGGCACAGGTCTACTTTACGCGTCTAACTGGTTGCTACTGTAAGAAAGATGGTTTTAGGAGTAAATCGCGCGTCGGTATAAGACGTGCCTGCTATGACACATACACATTTCACGTGGTTGGATAAGGGCCGATATCACGTAGGACCAACGCCTTGCTACGCTGTCGGGTCAACATAGTCTTGAGGTTATTGTAGTCGCACAGGAGCTACAGAGAGGAAGATGGAAGGACAAAGACTCGGAATTATGCGTATAAGCAGGGAGTCGATATCGAGGCACCATACGGATGAGCCGAGGACTGTGCAACATGTGTCGGGTACTATTAGTAGGGAAGAAATTCTTAAGTATAGACGCCTGTAAGCCACGGGTAAGGCTTTATGGATAATAGGAGGATACACAATAATTGCGGTGACCTGACTCGTCTGTAATATAACACGCGTGCTCAACTCCTCCACTTCCCTACTCTTGGCGACTCCTGCGACATCCCTTTGCTCGCCTAAACTCTTCCGGCCTAACCCAAGGCCCAAAAGATTTCCTGCTTTTATTGCATAGGCATATTCGGCACTGTACTGTGATCTCATACCAGAGTAAAGCTCAAATATCATAGATGGAACCGAGTTCATGTCAGATGGCGGCTAGAGCGCATATTGCGTCGAGTCAATATGTTTTTTGGCTCACACTCATTCCAGAAGCCATGGTCGTGGGGGGTAGGACAAGAGCTAAGCTGCGGGAGAGCGATATTGTACTCGCTACTCTTACTCTTGAAGTGGGCTAGCCTATGATTGTGAGCACCACGCATCATCAAAGATAATCGCGAGATGGACAATTCAGTTCTCCATCTACTCTCATTCACACATTCCTAGAAGCAATCACGAGCTGACTCTGTTAAGTTAAATCGGCACCATGTGCTTGTTCACCTCATATGGGTTTATTGCATTGGTGATAGGGCTACTTTCTTACACGTTTTTCCTCTTCATCATGAAACCTAGTGTTTGCCGACACGGAAAAGCATTAAGGTATGTATTTGATTCGGCATGGCGAATTTGACTATTTAGCTAACCTGTCCCACGCCAAGGCGGCCCCCAGACACGCTTCCAGTTATAGGGAACGGCCTAGTTTTCCTCCAAAGTCGCAAGAAAGTATTTTCTTGGTTTGTCAAGAGTGAGCACATCTTCGGTCTAGAGACGTTCTTCATCTCGGTCCCTACCTTGCCGCCGGGGGTTGTCATTCATGATCCGAAAAACCTCGATTTTGTGTTCAAGAATGAAAGCCTCTTTGCCAAGGGAAACTTCTTCCGAGAAAAAGTGTACGATCTTTTTGGTATGATCAGAGATCCACAACTCGAATCTAAGCTTCATCTAATGACATCAAGGAGAGGGTATAATCAACGTTGATAGTGATTCGTGGAAGGTCCAGCGTAAGGCCGGGTTAAAGTTCCTGAGTGCTGCAAACCTTGGAAATCTCACGGACGTCGCACTGCCACAATACCTCGCTCAGACTGTGCGTGAACTCGAGCGTAAAGAAGGCGCAGTGGTAGATTTAGATGACGCCTTTCACGAGTTGACCACCCAGATTATGGGTCGCATGGCATACAACGTAAGAGCGTCCATCACAAACTTGATCTGAGCCAAACGAATGGTGGAAAATGTGCTGATGACGTTCGGCGTTTGAAAGGTAGATATGCATCATTCCGATCGCTTTTCGGCCGCCTTTGATTTTGCCTCGGCTTTCACTGCTGCGAGATTTCAAAATCCTCTATGGAGAGTGAGCGAGTTATTTTCGGCGCGCCATTTTCGCGCAGCCATGAAAGAAGTCAAGCTATTTGGTGCCAATCTAGTTTCGAGCACCAAGCGATCTCGAGAGCTAGGCCAACAGAATGGCGAGGGTGGCAAGAGAACTAAATTAGAGCCTGGAAGTCTCATCAACTCTTTACTTGATTCGATTGAGGATGAGCGTATTGTTGCTGAAGCTGCATTGTGCTATCTGTCTGCTGGTACGTAGTCCCTAGAACGCACAAAATATTGGTGCTTACTGTGGACACACAGGAAAGGATACCACGGGTCAAGCTCTTAGTTGGACATTTTATCTTTTGATGAAGAATCCTGAGGCCTTGCAGAATGCTCGCCGTGCAGTTTCCAAATTTCTATCGGATACGGAGCGTGCGGAGTCCCTCGATCCGTGCTTTGACTCGGCAATCTTCCGACCCACCGCTCTGCCATATATCATGGCCGTTTTCTACGAGTCCCTCCGCTTCTTTCCACCCGTACCATTCGAGCTCAAGGAATGCCAGCAGCCAACAACACTTCCAGACGGAACGTTTCTTCCAAAAAATACGATTGTCTGCTGGTGTACTTGGGCCATGAATCGATCACACCTGAGGTGGTCAGGTGATGTGGACAAGTTCAAGCCTGAACGCTGGATGGAGAATGGCATTTTTGTTCAGCGATCAGCGTCAGAATTTCCAGTATTCAACGGCGGCGCTAGGATGTGCCTTGGGAAGACGATGGCAGAGATAATTGCCACGCAGGTTATTGCCACACTCATTATGACTTTTGACTTTGAGCTGTTAGAGGATGAGGAAAAGGGTTACAGGGATAGCCTCACGCTTCCGCTCGAGGGAGGCTTATCATGTCGCGTCGTACGCATCTCGAAAGACAGAGTTGGGTTAGGCATGGGCGTCAGCGGGATGAATAATAAAGGGCCAAACTAGAGTGGAGACATTATTTTCTCGTATGGGCCAACGTGGAATTTTGAATTGAAACTTTGAAGGAGCGAGTGAGGATTGAAATGATTCTAAACCGAACTGCTGTGTCTCCCTACCATAAACTCTAGTTGGGCTTTGCCTTATCAATACTCGTTGCACTTGGTAGGGAAGGAGTGGAAGTGGGCTCGGCGACCAGCACAGCTGCCTCATCCGTCGAATGTTCCTTGACCTTCGCAAAGGCAACGTAGAAAGTAATGACTACGCTGCTGAGCAGGATACACCAGGTACTTAGGTACATACTTTGGTAACTGATTTCCAGGCCATCGAGACGCCAGGCCACGGCGGCAGCGGCTGACTGGATGCTTTTGTACCAGCCGGCATAATGGGACAAAGTGGCCGAATTGTTGGAGAGGGCACCTAGGAGCCAGTAGGCGTAGGCCTGGAAACAGCCATCATAGAAGGCGTAGGCAATATAGATGAGGATGTAGGGAAGGTAACGACGGGACTCAGTAAGGTCGATAAGGGGTGTAGGGTTCTGGCCTCGCCGAGAATCTTTTGCAAAGGACCAGCCGCCGGTCCAAACGGCGATGGTCAAGAGGAGCAGAAAGACGATTCCCATACGAGCACGTGCCGGTCGGCCGAGGAGGTTGGGAGCGAGGGGAAGGTCCATGGCAGTGCCCATGATCCAGACACCGACCATATTGAAGAAGTTCGCTGATAAGCCATTGAAGTAGCGCGTGCGGAGGGTGAAGTTTGGGACGTTGAAGTCGTTGGCTTCTGGGCGGAGTTAGCGGGGGGAGGGGAGAAGGTCAAAGAGAAAGATGAAGCTCACGATACGTGTAGAACCAGTTGGAGGCGGCAAAGAAGGGGAAAAGCGTAATGATCCACCAGTTGGCAGTGAGGACTCGTATCATTCCATGCAGCTCGGATCTATGTGCACATGAGCGGGGGCGGAGCGGGGCCGACGGCGTATGGGACTCACTTCCAGGTAGGCATGGGCGGCAGGACAACGCGGGTACCATCGGAGCGGATTACGTGATCAGAGGGCAGGAGTAGGAGGGGAATTCCACAGCCAATCAGCATGATGACGACAAAGGCGATGTACTGCGGCAGTTTAGCGGGCGCGGACGGTTGCGGCTGCGGGATAGAGCACTTACTGAAGCATCACCGAGATTGGCGGCGTGGGAGGACCAGTTGAGGCAGATGGGGATGATGGAACCAACGACGCCGCCCATTTGGAAGATTGTCCAAAAGACGGAGAAGGATCGGCCCTTCATGTCCTCGGTGGGATAGGACATAGTCACGGCGCCCTGGGCCGTCCATAGCTGGCAATGTAAGCGGGCGGGCGGGCGGCGGCGGGGAAGGTCTGGACTCACCATAGCAGCCGAGAGCCCCTCGAGACAGCCGGCCACGACGACCCACGGCGTTGCTCGCTCGCCAATGTGGGCGGCGGCAAGATAGGCCGAGGCAAGACAGGCATAGCCGATACCGCCGTACATGAGGCAGAGGCGGATACCGAGACGATTGTAGATGGTGCCGCCGAAGAAGGCGAGGGCGGAAAAGGCTTAGGCAAGGTCAGTGATTAGTTCCCTTTTCCAGCGTAGACGTCAGCGCACTTACTGGCATAAACGGCGACATTCGCCTGGTTGGACTGACTGGTGTTGATGAGGCCACCGCCTCCAGCACCGCCGAGCGCATTCGACATTCCCCTGGGCCGAGTTAGCACGATCACGCTCGTCGCGTCGACTTACACTGTGCAAAAGGCAATGAGCCCGACCATGACGACCTGGGCCAGCACGCTGCGGTAGCGCGGGATGCGCAGGCGGCCGATGCGGTAGGAGGTGTCGAGCGGACACGGGTGCGGCGCTGCTTCGGCCATGTCAGGAATGGGGGAACGGCGGAATAGAAGGGCCATCACCTTCTAATACGAGGCAAAGCCGAGCTTTATCTAGGGCGCGCGCGCTCACAGGCATCCTGGCTACTACCATACCGTCGTCGTCAAGGCCCATTGCACGGTCCGCTCCTGGACCAGAAGGCGGCGGCGGCGGTCGAAGCGTACGCCTCCGGTCATGGCGAGGGCGTGGGCAAGGGCGACGTCGAATCAGCGTCGTCGCCTGTCACTGCAAGGCGCACGTGGCCCGCCCCGACTAGAGGTTCCCGCCTCCCCGTCGTCATCTGCGCGCACGTGACACGTGCTGGAGGCGTTGCGGCGGCGGCGGCGAAGAGCCACTCGCCACCAACAAGACGACAGGTGCAACTGGCTACTGTCGCTTCAGGGAGAAAGCTGATGATACTGAGACTCTTTGTGCCCGCTTCGCACTCCGGTCTAAGAGGGATGCGGACCGGGCATCGCCGGTCTCGCGTTGCCACCGCCAGGGAGGCGTCGGCGTGTCGCCGTCCCTTAATGACTGGCCATCTCATGACGAGAATGCGTGTCACGGCCGCAGCATCTCTCCCTCTTCTCCCTGGCGCCAACCTTCCCGCCGCTCATCTCGAGATCCCCTCACGCTGCCAACTTTCTGCCCTTTGCCCTCGGCGAGATTGGCGGCGCTGTCCTGGCGCCACTGTCCTGCTGCTACTCGCCACTATGTTCTTTGATCTCTACGTCCGTCGGTGGGAGCCGCCTCTGTTCGTATATCCTCAGCGCTCTTCCTCGCCCAAATCGCATCATTACTCCACTCATCAGAACGCCCTCCATCTTTTCTATACACACTCCCGTCCTCCTTGGTCTCCCTCGAATTCCAGTGCGGGCACATCCTCTCTCGACCGTCGTCAGCTCTCTCGCAATTACGTTCGCCCAAACTCACCTGCCCTCTCGAGCATCCCTCGTCTCCTCTCACCAGCCGCCTCAACATGTTTCCACTTCTGCCTCTGTCCATTCTCACTCTCGCGACTGCCACCCATGCACACATGGAGATGTCATGGCCGGCCCCCTTTCGCTCCAAGTTCAACCCACACGCCTCGCCCGGCAAGGTCGATTATTCCATGACTGCTCCTCTCAAGGCCGGCGGCGCAGATTTCCCCTGCAAGGGCTATCACTCCGACATGCAAGATGCCGCCGGCGTCGGTGCTCCCGTTGTCACCTGGAAGGCCGGCTCGCCCTACAACTTCACCGTCGTCGGCGGCGCTCCCCACAATGGCGGCTCCTGTCAGGCTGCCCTCAGCTATGACAAAGGCGCCACCTTCAAGGTCATTCATTCCTACATTGGCGACTGTCCACTTATGAACACCGGTAACTTCAACTTCGCTGTACCCTCCGATGCCAATCCCGGCCCGGCCATCTTCGCCTGGTCCTGGCTCAACCAAGTCGGCAACCGCGAGTATTACATGAACTGCGCCTCCGTCAATATCGCTGGCGCTGCCGGTGGTGCTGGCACGCCGCCGCCAAAAGTCTCCTTTGCGTCGCGCCCAAACCTCTTCGTCGCCAACCTCGGCAATGGCTGTACGACGGTCGAAGGCAAAGACACCGTCTTCCCCAATCCCGGGCCCGATGTGACAAGCAAGTCTTCCAAAGTAGATAATTCCGGCAGTATTGTGGGAAACTGCGAACCAGCTAAGAGTAATCCGCGCGCCCGATCTGAATCTGACCCCCGCTTATTCGTAGCAAGTGGCGAGCAAATCAGCGTAATCCCCGTCGCCACTGCCGGTACGCGCGTCCCCATGCCCACCGCCGCTCCCGCCCAGCCCGCGCCGCCCACCACTACCGGTATGGCTCCAGGCAGCATGAAGATTAGCGCCGACGGTGAATGTGGCGGGCCCCAGACGTGTCTCGGCTCAACCTACGGCAACTGTTGCTCTCAGTTCGGCTTCTGCGGCGATAGCGACACGCATTGCGGCTATGGCTGCATGGAGGGATACGGCACGTGTGGCTCCAATGGAACGGCGCTCAAACTGCGTCTGCGTGGTCCTCATTTTCGGTATCTGTAAGAGCGTCGTGTTGTGCTTTCGCGAGAAATTTGTATTTATGACGGTCGGCTTCTGTTTTTCTCATGGGTCGGGCAAATAGCGCTTTTGTTGCGTAGCTCGGAAGATACATTGACTAGCAGGCAAGGTACAATGAATCGGTAGTTTGCGGCAGCGCGGGGGATCTCCGGAAAGTAAACGGTTTCTATGATGTTATTTCAAGCATGTTTATGATCAATATAATCAGTTACCAAACCAACCCTGCTACCCATCGGCGTGACCCACGTGATGAAATTGGGCGCTGACAGGCCGCATCGCCCACGTGCCCCGTGAAACTTGGATTGCCGCTAGCTAGGGAACGTGGTCTCTGCTACCGCTCTCGTACGAAGCTAGTTTGCATCTGGCCAGAAGACTGGACATCGGTGGCTTGAGTGTCGGGATGAACGATGGTACAGTCAGTATGATTTATCGCGGCGGGCAAGATTCCAGCGATGACGCGAACGTAAATTGTCATTTTCAGAGCACATCATTAAGGCTGGGCGTCCTTTCTCTCGATAGGACCATGCGCTTGTCATTAAAGGTCATCATCGACATGGCTAACCGGACAACCTGAACCCCACATTTCACATGAAATCTAGACCATCCGTTTGTGCAGGGATCTGCGTAAGCGCTTATTTAGGACATGTCGAGTTACAGTCCCATAGCATGTCCATTAATTATTGGTAACGCGACACCTCATTTTCCCATAAACAAACCTTCAACGCCTACGCCGAGGAGTAGTGGTTTGTGAGTGAATCTATTCAGGATGGGATATACTACCCGCACAAGTGTTCTTGGCCTGTAGACATAAAAGTTCCATGTCCCACATCGCCCAAGGCTTACAGAGGACATCAACATACAGAAAAGACGCCCATACCAAACATAAAGTCAATGATGTTCATTTTGAAAAAATCCTTGCCACTATCTCTCGCATGCTAGCCACTGATGATCGAACTGAAGTCGACACAAGCAGAGTCTCAGAATGTATGAAAAGGCTGTTAAACTGTCAAAAGTGTCCTCCACGAACCCGGGAATGCAATATTCTCCTAAATTGTCAAGGTACAAGGAGTTCAGATGGCCTAGAAAGTCGATAACTCAATGGTTTATAGAGCCGGGGAGAAAAGAATATTTTCAGACGGCTAAGGTGAGGAGTAAATACCACTCTCCGCAAAGAACATAAAGACCGGGAGACGACGCAGTAGATTAGCTTTCCGAGGAAAAAATATCAACTCACAATGAGTTATCGACTTTCAAGTACATCTGGACTCCTTAAACCTTAACATGTAATTTTCCCTTCTCTACTAATCCAAACCCTTCCACCTGCCCGCCAAAGGTGCATGACATTCAGAGTCCCAGACGAAGAGCCACAGTCAAGCATGTCTATTTCATCCTACCACAGTTTCTCAGCTCGATCGGATTCATCGCTGAGAATATTTGAGATGGATCGAACTAACCAGGGCGCATCGAGTTTCAGGATGAGTAGCGACGCGGAGAACAGCAATCGGCTGGCAGGATTGTCCTCGCAGGACATAGAGGATTGATACTATTACTCGAAGAAAGGAGAGCGCAGCAAACCATGCCAAGGTCGGCGGAAGCAGCAAGGCCTATGCGAAGGGACGCGGTATTACCCAAGTGGAATGGGGTGCAAGTAGACTTCGGGTTCTTTGTGGGGAGATTGGAAACGAGAATCGAGGCGGATTCTGCCCCATTTCTGGACGACAGAACGATTTGCCTGGACGTGATCGAGACCCTGCCGTAGATAGCGAAACCAAGGGTGTCAGCGTGGTTCGAAAGAAGGAAAGCTGACGGACGATTCAGCTGGAAGGAGCTGGTACAGCATTTAAAAAAGACATTTGCAGACAGACAAGCACGGCAAGTAGCCTTGCAGCATATCAACAGAACGGAGCAGGACGAAAACTAGACTCTAGCGGACTTTTTGCTCGATTTTGAGTACCGAGTGGCTCAGAGTGAAGGGGACGAGGCCTTTACGCAACTCGGCAAAACAATAAAATTAAAGGCAGCCCTTGACATGTAAGCTGCGCATGACTCTGGTAGGAGTGAAGCTTCTACAACCGGAAAGATATGACGACTGTGTAGAGGGAGTAAAGGAAGTGGCGTTAGAGCTAGAAGAGTTGGCAAATTACAGTCCAAAAGGGGCAACCTAGATAACGACAATATTAGGTGGGCCAAAGAGCGTAGTAGGGCAAATGTTTCCCAGCCGACAGACAGTGGATGCGGAAGGGGACATCAGAATGAGCGGCACGAACGCAATCATAGCGGCCATAGGAGGTTCTATCCAAAACTCAGAGAGAGTGGCAGTAAAGCCGAGAGACGAGCCTAAAGGGAGGTTTGTATGTGGAACAGGAGAGACCCATAAAGAGAAGCAGTTACCAAGGGCCTTATGGCGGTCACAGTGAGAATTATGCAGACTCATAAGAAGTCATGTAAAGATATAATTCATTCATTAGTTCTTTTAAAACTTGAGGGTGCTAAAGTTATCGTTGGGAGGGTTACTGTGAGCCTTGGGAAAAATTTCACGAGGTTGGCAAGAGTCAGAGATATGGATTCGTAATTCTAACTAAAACTAAGGACGATGGAAACTAGAACAATAGACAAGACCTGGCCCTCGACTGTGGCTCTGTCCAATCTCTATAAACATCATATTAGCTAGAACAACTTAGGCCTCAAAGGGCACGGTTTCTATCATTCTAATACCTCATTCTATTACTCCATTCGAAGCCCAGTAACCATTCTTAGGTGAGTAAATATTCTTAGACTGTGTAGGGAAAGAACACGGGGGTGCAACTTTATGCTAAGTCCCTGATAGCTTATATGGCTCAAATGACCATGACTATATCTCAACCTTATGTACAGACATGATTTATCGTTTGTAGTTGTTGTGTCATCACGACTATGTGTCAGTGATGGAAGAAATATCATTGTATAGTTACTAGAAAACTAGTCAAAATCCTAAACATGAGACTGACATCAGGAGAATATTACCTTATAATTATTCTGGTGAGTCTGGATCTGGAGGAACATAAACTGGTTGCTTGGCTCGAAGTATATGAGCCTAAGCATATGATGTATAATAAACTATGTAGAAATCTATCTCAATCACTATCAACATCTTAGTTCATGTCATCATCAATAGCTGCAAAGCACAGTAAAACCATTTCCTTCTACATGAGAGGGGTTCTGCCTCTGCTGTTTCCAGGACGGACAAAGAGCAAAAGGTTGTCCAAGTTCGTGAGTTATTGCAGTGTCAGCTCTGGGAGAGCTCTTGGAAGAGACAAATCCGAGCAACGAAAAATCCCAAAGTTGCTCTCCGGGGAAAGAGCGAAGGTATCTAGAGGATTCTATCTCGTGGCAGTTGTTATTGACTGCTTAGTGTATTCCTCCTTTTTCGCGCAAGCTATAACTGATATCGGATGTCTGTTGTGATGTGATGAGATATTTTTATTGTACTGCTTGAGTCATAGACTATCTAGCACATTGGGCTCCTCTCTGACCCAGGACAACCCTTGCACAGTGCTCTCTGCCCCTTTTTTTACTTGAAAGATCATTGATATATTGCCCGTGATGAATAGCCATTCGGCTCAGTATTTACCCGTGGAATTCGGCCACATTTTCCACGGAACCTTCTACCCAAAAAAGTAAAAATGGTAGCGATGGAAACTGCGTGCGCGGGAAGAAGTCTCAAAAAACCTACAGCCCCAGCCAGGCGAGGCCTAGACACCGGGACCAGATGAGTTGCGCATATTCATCTATATCTCCCTTCTTTGTAACATTCAAGGCCGACTTGATCCAATCAGCCATCTCCGTATCGGGTGCTGGGTACACTCCGGAAACTCATCGGATGGCCTCTCCTCCATGATCAAGGTTTGGTGACGAGTAGGGCTCCGACCCAACCATTTGATCTGATCGTGGTTGGCTTCATGATAATGGTGATAGAGGAATGTGTTGAGAGTTGAAGACGATACAGACCGCGAAAGCGATTGGGAATCCCCGTCGAAGTAAGGACTTTGTTACTCTGTCTCGGCTCTGCAGACTCTGCAGTGAGAGCTAGAGTTTCGTAGGGGACACCATTGACAGGCGTTGAGAATAGTCCCCCTACAAAGAACAATTGTGGGGGATGTGATGCCCAATTTGTCGAACCGCATTATTTTGGGTAAGCCCTGGATGGAACGCAATAAGGTGATCTATTCGGCAGGCGAAAAACCCTTGAGAGTAGACCGTGGAGATATTAAATTATTTGTAAATACAGAAGGTTGGATCGACAAGTCGGCAGCTGGTGAGGTGCAAAGGCTGATGCGTGAGAGGTTGAGCAGTAAATCGGAGGTAGAGTACCGAGAAATGTATGAAAAACTTACGCACAAGCTGAATAGAGCGCCAGATGATTTATGCGAGCTAGTCGGAGCTATTTCAATATGTGACATACACACGAAGATCTCTGTAAGTTTTACAGTAATCATGTATTTAGTACTATTAGCGTGGTGGTCTGTATTTACGCGATGTAAATAGAAAGTAATACAGTGTCTCTGGGATATAAAATGTTAGCCTCAAAACTGGGATGTTTAAGGGATTAGCCCTGTAGGCACAGTTGGGCTAGCTCGTAATAGGTTAGTATATATCTCAACCCTACCCCGCTCGCCATGAAGTATGGTCCAATTGTCTTCTTCTAACAATTGGTTAGAAAAACACATTTTCAACAACGCTTTTGGCTGCCTAACCTACAAAGTCCTTGAATCTGAACATCACTATCAATTCATCCTCTATTCTAGCAAACAAAGTCTCTCCAAAAGTATGCTTCTGGAACCAAAGTTCGCAGGCATCTAAATCGCGATCAATGTATTGAAATAAGAACACAAAGATGACTTGGCTTGACATCACAACATACATCCGACGAACTTGGCTTCACAATAAGACAATTACAACTTGCGTGTGGTCGAGAGACTGAGAATCCTATGTCTCGCAAAGGACCC